GTTATGAATAGAGAAATGTAACTAGAGAGTAGCCGAACATAAGGGTAGGCTAGTGAGGTGAAGGCTGTCATAGTCTCAGACTGCATACTCACATCAACCTCATATAGTTATTCATAATAAAAGAAAAAATAGTGCAAATAGACTTATTTTAACCACTTTAGCAGTCAAGAGTCAAGAATTAACTCAAACAGCTACTTTCTACATATCTAGACAATATTTGCATCTCTACATTGATATTTAGAACCAGTAGTCTTGTATGATGTAGGTTGATTTAGTCTACAATCAGTAATGCCACTCATGGTGGTTGATGATCAACCTCCTTTGTCTTACCCAATAATTACAAATAGATATTGTGCTGCTCTCGCTTAGCTAGTTAGCAATACATGGACAACCTTATCCTGCTACAGGGTTCAATATCACATAGTAACGTTAACGAGGCTGTGGAGTGAACGAGAACATGGTGAACTATGTCAACTTTAATCTCAGTGCAGTATAATAATGGGACCTCCCGCTCGTAAGTTTCGACATTTATCTCGAAAAGCTAACTATCTATATTCTCCTTTTTTACAATAAAAGTGTCATCTATTTTAGGGCCACTTTTCCATCTTTTATTGCTTTGTTCTATATGAATAATAAATTGCGATTGCAGGGGAAAACAAAGGCTAAACACGATGATTCCCCAATTTTTTCTTCATTTTGTTATTCTCAACATGATTAATACTGCAGCAGTACCGGTAAGCATTTACTATATTTCTCTCATACCGCGCATACACTAACCCTAATTACAATCAAAGAATGAAAATTCCAATCTACCTAATACAATCAACTATATAAACGAAGATAATACTTTGCACTTATTTGATGCAAAAAAGAACATGATAAATTATTCAGGAAAGACAACTTTGGATCAAGAGGACCTTCTTCTAACTTCGACGAATGCTGATAGCCACAGTGTTTCAATTGATCATGATTCAAATCAGCCGCTATCTCAAAATTTATTCTCCGAAGACTTTAAAGTGAAAGATAGCACTTTATTCAAATTTCAAAAATATTCTGGTTTACTCCTTCCTGCAGATCTAGCTTGTCATCAAATTCCTTGTGATGTTAGCTTTGACTGTACTGGCCTACGGAATCCAATCTGTTCCTTTTGTCTGAGAACAAACAGATCTGGTGGAATATGTCATATTTAATTACCTGATCTGTTTTTACTATATAGTATAGTTAAATCATTACATGGCAAATTTGTTTCTCAGTCAATGTTATAGGAAGGAAGTAATTATTAGATAAAAAATTACAAGAGTAGTTGTTTTTTTGTTGTGCCAACCACATCTCACACCTAAATCGGTTTGTTTAAATCTACTGTTTTTGTATCATATTGTATATGTGGAAGGTGTAAAGCTTGCTTGATTGAAGGATTGCTAGCTACGTGGCAAGTTATAATATGGTGGAAGGATTACTAAGCCAGGGCAGTTGACCTGACACCCCCACTCACCATAGTAACTATACACAATGCTACATACAAAATTTGCCTTCAAATCAAGTACAGGTACAAAGACAACTGGAAAAACGAAGTAGTTAAAAAAAAAAAAACACCAGCCATCAAATCCATCAATTTTTACCCCCCTATCCC